TACCTACTACTACTACTACTACTACTACCTACTACTACTACTACTACTTCTGCTTCTACTACTACTACTACTGCTACTACTACCACTACTACTGCTACTACTACTACTACTCCTGCTACTACTACTACTACTACTTCTACTACTACTACTACTACTAGAATTCCTGCTACGATCGCCAGGATTGTGTTACTATCCTTGCTAATATTTGTAATACTTCGAATTTCGTAGTACTACTTTGGCTAGTATTAGCGCTGCTAGCACTTCTAGTACTCCTAAAATCTCGGTACGGTTACTAGTAGTAGTACATACAAGTATGAATAGTACTACAAATACAATGTCACATCTACTTGAGCAGTGTTTAGCCTTAGCGATACCCCTTGTCAATCAATATTGCCCAATGATGGTAAAATTGCTACGAAACTGTGGTTAGCGATGGGACCTTTCCAAATTATGTTGATGTCTATTCGCCAGACAAGGAGTTTAGACAGCCGCACATTTGGTTTAATGTGAGTAAATAAATTATCAACCATCACCCAAATGGGTGACTTATTATTGTTTTACCCACATTATATACACTATTTGGGAGTACATTTTTCTCTTATTTTCCATCCTGCAACTCTCTACTGTTTGTTTTTTTTGTACCACCTTAGAGTCCCTTAGAGTGCATCCCAGTTACTAAGGCATATTAAGGCATAAGCACATATGTAAGAAATAAATAAATAAATGCACCATCAAATTTTATAAGCCACTTTTTTTTGATAGGTTATTTCCACTTATATCCCCAACTGTGTCAAAAATCGGCTCAAACTACTTCTCCGATGCCGATGATCTACTTGGGCCATAGCTGGCAATTATCAGAACAAGTAGCAGAAAAAGACCCCAACTTCAATTGTTCTACACCATTCAAGTGGAAGTATGTTGATCTCGTTTGGGGGTGAAGCCAGTTTTGATTTGGATTCGCAAAGTATATAGTCTATGCAATATATATATATATATATCATACATGTTCCAAGACATTTGTTTAAATGCTAGGTTATTTTCCAGCACCAATCATTCTGTATTTGGATTCCTCATGGATTCCTCTCCAGCCAGGTCATGGCGCGCGGAATCATCAAGCACTTGAAGCGCATGTATGCGCCCAAGCACTGGATGCTTGACAAGCTCAGGCTCCATGGAAGCAGAAGCTGTACACTTCCAATAGGATCCATGGTGCTGGTATATATGCTAACATTTGGGGTATATTGATGGTAAATGATATATATATATATTATTATATCTGGTTGGTGGTTTGGAACATGAATTTTATTTCTCCATATATTAGGAATAATCATCCCAACTGACTTTCATGTTTTTCAGAGGGGGTGAAACCACCAACCAGTGGACGTTTGTTTAAAAAAATGCACAGTTCATAGTTCTGGCATATGCCGGTACTTCAGAGGTTTCTTGAATCGTGTCCACAGTTTGCAGACCACAGTGAACACTGCCTTCTTGACCCTTCTTGTTTTGTTCACTCTGATTGCGATGGTTGTCCAATAGCTTCATGGTGCACGTGTTTTTTGACAAACATTCGCACATGAATATGAGACACTATGGGTTTGACTGAAATAATTGGGTATGTACCCCAAAATCGCGTGGTTGATCATATAGTTATCCCCTATCAAGAGCTCGCAATTTTGGGATAAGCCGTGATTCTCCAGCCAGGGTGGATTGCTCTAGATACTTTGTTTTGATAATGAGCAACCTCCCGGTTTCAATTTCTACAAACTTGGAATCTTTTATATTACCATCATATTTCCATGGATCACACATTTGGTTGACGCTTTTACATATGTGGTTTTTATTGTGTTCAACCATAGGAATGGATAAGAATGGGACGATGATCCGCAAGGACACGTCTGATTGAATATATAAAATCCCACAGTTGCAGTTTATTTCTAGTTATTTCATATGCCAATAACATATGGATATTATAATTTATCTCATAAGCATTTAATTGTATATATATGTAACATATATATATATAATATCATAGTTCTACCATAGTTCTCCCATGCCAGGGGACGCTGGGCGCCCAAGCCGAACGCTGGACCCCACAAGCTGCGCGAGTGCCTGCCCTTGATCGCTCGGGGAGCCCAGGGCATCCCTGGCGATGGCCACCAGGGATCAAGATACTGTAAATCTGTGTGTTTTTGTGTTTTTTTCCCCAGAAAATGGTTTGGAAACCACCCATGACGGATCCATGGTGCTGCTATATATGGTAACATGGATCCCATCAATATACCCCAGTCATGTTAGCATATATACCAGCACCATGGATCCGTCATGGGTCATAGTTTTTTTTGGTGTGGATTCCAAAAATTTTCGATCTTTCCCCCTCTGATTTCACCAAATTTTATGATTTTCTGCTTGGAATCATATGGGGAGAGGGTTGATAAATGGTTGTTATACCACTACTTGATGGTTCACCCCAGGAATCGTTCCTGTGAAATAACTGGGCTAGTTACCCTGCTTAATTATGTTGATTGCGATGAACCAACCCACTTACTAAGTGGGGTGAAGCACTAGTAAAAGCAAAACTTCCGGATTTTGATCAAGACAAATTTGGGATTTAGAGATAATTACTGTATTTAGAGATATTGGAGATTGGAAAATCGCCGAGCAAGTTTGGACAAGCGAAAAGGCCTGTGATTTTGACCAAGAAAGCTGGAGATCTGCTCAGTGACGAAAAGCAAGAATTATCCGTCCGCATGCCAATAATATATAATAATCTATATTTTATTCCGTTTCATGTATAAGATTATTATAGATTATTATTGGAATATCTATAATTTCTATATAATAATCAACTCATGTGGAAATTGAATTTCAGTGAATAAGATAGATGATTATTAATTATTTTCTCATTATAACCATCATTTCCATTATAATCCCATCTATCTTATTATAATAATAATCTAGATGATCATTATGATTATTTCATAATCTATCCCATCTCTCTTATTATAACCATTATATCCATTATCATTATGATTATTTATGATTATAATGATAATTTCAACTCTAATTCCATTTCAACTCTGATAATATTCTATAAGATAATGATAATTTATATTCCCAGAGTTGCAAATCATTATCATAATCTATCTTATTCCATTTCAACTCTGGAAATGATCCGATGTCGATGTCCTTCTTTGCAGTCCGAGGTCATGCTCCGTCAGAGGTTGAAGTATGCCCTCACCTACCGTGAGGCCGGCGGACGACGGGACTACGACGGTTGAACGTAAGGGAGGACAGTAGAAATGTGGAGAAAATACTTACTGGTGCTAAACGTAGGGAATGGATGGGAATGGATGGGTTGCTGAGATGATTGAAAGTTAGCCAGTGGATCATTCCCGAAAATTCCCTGCGTAAAACGCACCAGAAAAAGAAGATGCAACTGAAAATTTTCAGAAAATCCAGCTGGATTTGCCGAGGAAGCCGGTGGCACTGGGGCTGAGTCACATGGGAAATTCTGTGACATTGTCATTCCTTGCCGCAATTGATGTTTTTGACATATCTTCAGATATGTTCTCCCAGGATTTCATAGTTCATCCAATCTTTTCACATCTTCAGATATGTTATCCATTATGTTCCCATTTGGGCTTCACATCAGCAAACATCCAGTCTCTGACCGCTCACCAGGTGAAGATGATTGTCATGCAGCGCCTCATCAAGGTCAACTGACTGAATAACTGGTTCTATGAAATGTTCACTGAATTAATAATCAGCAAGTAGTTGTACATGTATTAATTCAGTGAATTGATGCTATAATGACTGGTTTCATTGAGAATTGAACTGTATTGAAATGTTCACTTATTTGATCTGGGTAAACTATAAACGACCTCACTGTTCTCCCTCACTGGAATGATATGAAATGGTTAGTAAGGGGAATTATCCCAATATAGCTTTATTAGTGAATTACTATAGTTTACCCAGATACAATGGTTCATTAAGTCATTTGTACCAGTCTTTTAAACATATCCTTTGGTAATTTAACTGATTTAACATGGCTATGGAACATGGATGAACATGGCCATTTAGTTCGATGATTTACCTACTGATAATATGTATGCATTATATACATGGTGATTTATTCAATAGCTATGCTAAATTCCCAACGGGTATCCACTGGTTGAATGAAACGAATGACTGAAAGAGATCCCTGAAATTGAATGCTACCGCAGCACGTCCAGCGTCCTGGATGCCTCTGCTGCGATGTTCCAAGTTGTCAAGGCAAGCATTACTGACATTTGAGAAAAATCCACCCAGGGCCTAAGGGCCTTGCTTCCCAGTTCGACCATCATGACAGTCGTGTTCCTTTTTTTGGGGACAATTTTCTACGGAGGCTTTTGGTGTCCAAAGCCAGGGACTTGGGTGACTTGGGGCTCCCCCCCAAGCATTTGGGCGTGAAAACCCAATGCCGGAGAAGTGCAAGCCCTGCTCTGCAACCCTTTTTTCCTCGTGGAGTCCGTCGCATCTTAGCACTTCATTTGGCAACATTGTGGGTTGTTTTCAATTTGAAATTCCATCTACAAAATGATTGTCAAAGTATAGTAAAGTTGTGTAGTAGTCTATGATGGTATACAGTAATGATGGCATATCCATTCTGTACTTATAGTACAATATTGGGAAACCATTTTGTAGAACCAGCGACCTGGGGACTGCAAATGTGGATTTTGACCCCAATAACATGATATACTTGATACTATGGATCCCTGGTGAAAAGGGGTTAGACCAATTTTTTACTGCTGGGGAGTGGTGAGACTAATTGGTTTATGGGGGATTACTATACTGCTCCTTTTTATAGGGTGGGGTATTATTCTAATTGGTTCATAGGGTGTAATATTATAATATATATATAATAAATTATAAGTACTTACTATAGTGGGTTTACTGGGGATTTACCCGACCTAGAGATACAAATCAACCAACAATAGACATGGGATGATGACACCCCGAGTGAGAAGTTAGCCTTTTAACCCCATGAATACTGTAACTATATGCGTATCATAAACCATAATTATTGGATTTATCTTTACCAACTTAGTTGTCATAAGTCAGCTATAAATCTCATAAAGTCTCCACTTTTGTTGGGTTCAACATCACTATGGTTCCAAAGGTTTCGTTTCGTCAAAGGGCCAACAACAGTTTCCATCGTGCAGCCAGACGTTTCGCCAGGTGGACGGCAAGGTGCGAAGCGACATGTTCTACCCTGCGGGCTTCATGGATGTGGTGTCCATTGCTCCTTGCCGCCGGTCACAGTCTGAGCAGAACTGGAAAAATGTTCATGATTAGTTCCCTTAAACTTACTGGTGCTAAACGTAGGGAATGGATGTGAATGGGGGAATGGGATGATTATTATTATACATGTTAATATCTTTAATAATCTATGATAATCTATAATAATCTATAATAATCATCTGGAATGGTGACTTCCCTTAAAGCAATCAGTTCACCAATCCAGTGTTGAGTTCAGTTCACCAACTGCGGTGCAGTCCTGACATCGTGCTGTCATGAGATCAGCGGGAGAAGAAATGTTGGTTGTATATAGCCCCAAAAAACGATGGACATATGTGAATATGATGGGTTATAATTAACAATAATGTGATTTACTGTGACTTAATGAACAATGATGTGATTTAAATGGGATATTATACATCCAGAACAATTGGGGATGGGTACAACCAATCGTTAATATTCATTAATGGCGATTAATAATCATTAATAGTGGATAATAGATAATTAATTATAGTGATTAATACACATACCCAACTTGACATGGGGATGGGTCAAAACGTATGAAATTACATGAAATTACCATATATGCCTGGGGGAATAACCATCCAGCTATACCAGCTATGACTTAGGGTACCGGGCACCAGGGTTTTGACCCATAACCATTTTACCAGTGGTCAGGAGGAAACGGTTCCGAGGGATATCTATATTCCCTACAACATGGGGAGCCAGTCGGAGCTGCGAATAGAGTCCAAATCATACTTGTAGTTTTTGTTGTTGAGATGCCAATATACTCCAAGATATATCAATTTAAATTAATGTATATACTCATGTGTATTGCCACTTAAATCCCATTTGGGGATCAACTTAAATCCCATTTGGGGATCAACATCTATTATTCTCCCAACAAGAAAAACGGTTCATTGCTACTATTCTCCAAAATCTGGGGGCATCCAAAATCTGGGGATTAACATCTGGCAGCCATTGCTGATTCGCGCTCTGAGGAGAAAACCAAGGAGAATTTCCGCTTGCTGTACAACACCAAGGGCAGGCCCCCCCCCCATTCGGGCCCAAGCGCCGGTGCAACGGAAGCGTAGGGTTGGTCATAGAACCATGAACAATTGGGATGTAACCAACAAAAATGGTGGGATGATATGCATGATGAGGATAGAATCACGATATAATGGGGATGTAATGGGAACATTTAGATGTTTCTTGAGTTTTTCGAGTGGTCAGCTTTGCACCGGGAATGAAGAGGTTTGGTACATTGCTGATCCATTCTAAGTAAGACTGCATTTTTGTGCAGTCCCTGAGATGGCATTTAATATGTTATCTTTAACGAATTTTCATGATACAACCCCAGCATACCCCAGCAAAGGACTTGAATTTGGTACCAGAAATCTGCGTGGTTATGTTCTCCGTGGCAATTGAACATCTCTGATTTATTTGTAGGGGGCGTTCCATTGCCACGTTTGATTCCCAGAGGATATATATGGGTATGTCTGGATATGGGGTATACCCCCAATTATAGCCATTTAGTAGGGATAATGATCATTAACCATTGGGTGTAGGGGTACACTATTTTCAGACAAACCCATATATATATATATAGAGAGAGATTCATGTTCATATTGCTTCCCCTTGGGTAATTTAACATAACCGCATTGAACATGGCCCAGCGATAGATAAATTTCCCAGCACGGAAGCTCCATTTATAGGTGATGTTCAATTGCAATGTTTGATTAAAGGGTAATCACATGTAATCACGTTAAAAGCCATTGATGTTTACATTATACTCAGCGTTAGTAAACATGAATCAGCAGTAAGTACCATGATTAGCATTGATTAACCATTATTTCCTATCATCAACAGCCATAAAACGAGGGAGTTTTCTCCATCTCCTCGGAGGTTTGTGCTGCACAAGGTCGCCAAAGAGGAGGCAAGAAATATCGCCCGCAATGCAAGGATGGTGAAAAGTAAACTATGTTACAAATATAGTATAGTGATAGTTCTATTTGAATCTATTTGGCCCGTTTTTTTTCTTGGAGCTTACTGTTACGATAACCCAAGAAAATGAATGGGTTTAGCCATTATTAAACATCACCGATTCTTTGGGCTTAAGTGGAGGGCATACAGCTTTGCTGATTGAATGCCCGTGATTAATTTTTGCTGTTTAAATCCAGCAAAGGGGGATTCTAAAAACATGGGGGATCCCCAAACCATGGGTGAAACAGCGCTCAAATGGTCGAATTTAGATGATTTGGGGATTACTCCCATTTTAGGAAACCTCCAGATGTGAAAGATACAATTAGATCGTGTCAAAGCCCCAATTGCTGCCTCTTTATTCCACATGTTTGCTGCTCAAATCCCAAGGGGTGTTTGCAGGAACCCAATTATTGACCCATGATGCCTAATATCCTTGGTATTTTTCCTGAAGTTGTGCATAGAAACTTTTCAGAATTGGAAACCTAATAGTTGAAGAGGATATATCCCAACTTATGGCGGGGTTTTCCACATGAAGGTTATACCATGTTGTGCCAAGAACTACCCCTGGCTTGCACATCATGTTTGTTGCTTGTTTTTGCCAGACCATGGGCCAACCAGAACTAGTTCGACGTACCACAAACAACAGTTATCTTAGTTAAATCAGCCAACAGAAATCTATCATGAAATCCTAAATCCGACCAATGCAGTTTGCATTTTATTGACAGCTACCCTTTGGTTATTTTACATAGCTATGGGCAGTCAACATTTTCTTTTGAATATAGTTAATTCATCTAGCAATGGGTCATTAATCATTATGTTAGTTTCCTGGAGAGCACATCATTTTTTCTGGATGATGATCATCTATCATTTTGCGTCATGTTTTTACTCACTCTATTCAGCGAAGTTCCTATAGATAAATCCAATTTAGTTCTAGGATTAGCTATAGTAGGAACTATTATACTATAATTTAGCCATAGATACTATAGTTCTATAGATAATTCCTACTATATAAATCAGTATCTAATCAAGCCACTATCGATCATTTTCCTAGAGTTTCCCCTAATTGGTTTTCCATATCTTTTCCGAACAGCTGGCTGGTGGTGACTGGAACCATGGAATTTTTATGACGTTCCCATCATATTGGGAATGTCATCATCCCAACTGACGAACATATTTTTCAGAGGGGTAGGTATACCACCAACAAGCTATTATTGGTATTATAACCACTATTATTATTATAATCCCATTATTGAAGATTATCCAATTATATCCCATTATGATATACCAGGATATATCTACCATAAACCATAGTTTTCCCCCAACAAAATCCCCAAAACTTCCCCAGAACTTCTCCAGAACGAGGCCGGCTACAAGCTGTGCCGCGTGAAGCGTGTGACCCGTGGCCCCAAGGGCGTGCCGTATGCGGTGACCCACGATGGCCGCACCGTGCGCTACCCGGATCCGGACATCAAGGCCGAACGAATGAAAGTGGAGGTCTTTACCAAGGAAGAAGGATATGTTCCCATGGAAAATGGGGATTTTACCATGGAAAATGGTGATTTTACCATGGACAACGGGGATTTTACTGTGGAAAATGGGGATTTTACTATGGAAAATGGGGATTTAAGGTCACTTAAGGATGGAATATGATGGAATATGGGGATTTTCACTTAAACCGTGTTTTTTTTTCCATAAAGGGTGTGTAGTGGAGACGCAATTTGTCTTTTTTTGCCGTCGGAGATTATGTTTCACCAACAGTTCCAGGTAGAGAGTACAACCAAACCAATCGGCGGTGCTTCTGAGATTGCAAAGCGGAACCAAAAAAGAACTATTGAATATCATGGGCATATATGGCAAACTTGTACAAGCAAAAACAATGAGTGAGCATTGGGCAGCTCCAAAAACATGGCAGTCTTTGGCATTCTTTAGGGAACTGGCCGGAACCAGTTGAGATTGTTAAGAGATTTAAATTTCAAGGCGAAGTGATGTTGAAGCGAGGGATGAACAGTTTACCTTGAACGGCCAGGAACCATCCCAGTTTTGGCTTCGTGTGTTCATGGTAAAGGAAGTACTTTCCCCATGGGATGTTTTTGTCAACGTCCTGCTAGACATCTACGCGACTCTTGGCCATGTATGGTAGCTGGCTCGACCACCATTGCCCCGTTGCCGTTTTCATGGGATTTGGACGGACCTGTATGCGTCCTTCAAGAATGTACTGAGATTGGACCAGAGGAGCCAGAGGATGCAACTTGTGGTAGCCGAGGTAGACTCTTTTTATTGATATACTGTATTTTCTGGATGTTAACAGAACTCTATACAGAACCTGATCAGACTTGATCCAACTAACCAAAACAATCCGCATCTGATCAAAGTGGACAAGCAACCACCAGATATGACCCCATTTTTTCCTGCCCTTTGGAGGCCCACGACAGCATCCGACTCGACCTCGAGACTGGAAAGATCATGGACCACGTGAAGTTTGAGACCGGAAATATGGTGATGATTAGTCCGCTGCACTCAGTCATGGGACGGGCCGGACATGAAACGATGAATAGTGGAAACATATTGGGGCTATAACAATACGAGGAAATGATGGCTTTGTATGAACATGGGGAATCTGCCTCATAAAGGTGTTATTTATATAATGAAAATAACATGTATATACGTTTAAAGCAATGCTTTAAACGTATATAATATATGTTAGCATTTTAAAGTGGTTCTAAAAGCTGTGGGTAGGGGTCGAAGACTTGTTACCCTAGTGTTCACATCAAAAGAAGTGATTGTTCCGGGCGTTCATTCAATCCCACTCATCGGAAAATCATAGGTATTGATCCAACTTAAAATGGCAAACAACAGATGGATGTCAAATGATGTAACTTCTGCGGCTCAATGGGGGTTGGTGGAAAGCAGGCATGAAATGAGGTCGCTACTTGTAGTGGCTACAGTCAGATTCTCATGTCTGTTTCTTTCCATATGCTCGTATATCCCTCAAGTTGCCAGTCCAACGGTTCCTGAATTTCTTATCGAGGTTTCTCCATGTTCAACCTCTTCCAACTTCAACAAGTTCAATCCTCCAACTCCCCCGCCCTCGGCAACGCCGTCGGCTGCTAGGCGGTGGAAACAACATTGGCCGTGTGGGAGTCATCACCCACGAGGAAAAGCATCCAGGTTCCTTCGAAATGGTCCACATCAAGGTTGGGAAATATCGACAGCAGATGGGCGGAGGATGGAAACAAAGACATCAACGAAAGCAGCACGGGGATTAAAGAAACATCAACGATATTGCTTTACCAACATTTTATGAATTTATATATAGTTTTAATTATTCTTAACTTGGTGATTTTTGATGATTCAGAATTATATCAAATATAGTAGATCAAAGGGGATTAATATGCTGCATAATCATGTATCGTTAGTTTTAATTGTGAATGATGTGGGCAACCCAATGTCATAAACTTAGGTTTTTGGGATGGTAAACATAGCACCCATAAAATATGGTGATTTTGAGGATGGTTTCCATTGGGTTTACGGCAAATATATGTGGGGGGATCCTCAAGTCACCATGAATTTTCAATGCAAACATGCTCGGATGACTCTTGGATAGTTGGATGTTTTAGGTACCCTCTGGTAAACTAACATAGCTATGGAAAATCACCATGTTTGATGGGAAAATCCACTATAAATGGCCATATTTTGTGGGGATATTCCCTTACATAGGCCTTACATAGGCCTTATATATGGTAGGTACCTCCAATTTAGGTTCCTGAAATGGCCATTGAATTAATATGAAATCAGTTTGTCTGAACGTAAAGTAGTTACCTGACATTTTTTTGGGCGGATATACCATGATATACCTTATTTCGAAACAACACCCACATTTGTTAACCATGATAGACCATATGATATTCCATGGGTGTTGTTTTAATACCATATTAATATGGATATACCATGATATACCATGATTACCATATTAATCCATATGTTTATACCATGATTTTCCGCGGATCGTTTCTACGAAACCAGGACTCCATGGGCCACACCTTCAACACCCGACTGGAGAACGTCTTCGTCATTGGCCAGGCTTGAGGGATGTCTGAACCGTTTCTGGTTTTGCCAAGATTGGGATCTCATTGGGATAGCTTCTTTTAACGGCTGGTTGGTGGTTTGGAGCATTTTTTTTTATTTTCCCCAATAGTTGGGATGATGATCCAATCTGACTAATGTTTTTCAGTGGGGTTGAAAACAATTATTAGATGGGAAAATCATAGGAAAACCTTAGGAAAATGGAGGCTTACCCTCTGGCAGACATACAAAACACCTCAAAAAACGATGGAGAATTCACCATCTTTAATAGGTACATCAACGATTTCTAAAATGGGCCATCTATACCATACCAAACTGTTAGTTTACCAGGGGGTATTTCACCTAGCGAACTGGACACATTAATTTTTGTTAATGGGTACATCATCACAAATCATCGAAGGAAATGCGCCATCTATAGCTTTGTAATTTATATCCTGGATCTGCTGAGTCGACAAAGAAAGACATGGATGTAAGATGATATAAACAACATAATGTTGTGTTTTTTACCTTTCAGTCAGGATGGCAATCCAATTAGCAAGATTCAATGTTTGGTATTTTTTTTAACCAGCAAACAGTGGAGATATTCCACAACGCTGTCGCTGTGATTTTTGAACAATGATGGGTAAATTTAGTAAAGTGCCTGGTGAATGGGTAAAATATATTCTTTGCTGCAAACACGTTTCCTTTCAACGATGCGGGTACGCTGCTTAGATAAACGGAAATTAGTAATCCAGGAAAAATATCGAACAGTAATTTTACAACTATTTTACATTTAAGATTTTACGTTTCTATGTTTTTGTTGGTTGCTACAACTATATTGGTTCTTTGAATAGTTAACCAGGGGTGCATTGTTAATGTTTGTAATATTATATATGGGAGCCGTCCAAAAACCCCAGAAAGGTTTTTAGTAAAGAACCTATTCTCGCATTTTTCCCATGGTCTAAAACCTGCATCGCGCAAGTTTCGCGCAAGGGCGGCCCAAGGTAAGCGCAAGTACTATTGTTATCATTATTACAAATACTGTTTTTAATTAAGATTTTGATTACTACTACTACTACTACGACGACGACGACTACTACTACTACTACCACTACCACTACCAGTACTACTACTACTACTACTACCACTACCACTACTACTACTACTACTACGACGACGACGACTACTACTACTACTACCACTACCACTACCAGTACTACTACTACTACTACTACCACTACCACTACCACTACTACTACTACTACTACTACTACTACTAGTCCTACTATTCCTACTACTATTACTACTACTACTACCACTACTACTACTACTACTCCTACTATTACTACTACTGCTATTACTACTACTACTACTACTACCACTACTACTACTACTACCACTACCACTACTACTACTACTACTACTACTACTACTACCACTACTACTACTACTACTACTACTACTACTACCGTATCTGATTTAGATCTTAAATATTAATATCTCGAGTTGATAAACATAGATAACCAGGGTGGTAAATAGGCCATCCAAAGAAAAAGGAGCAGATAGATAGATAGATAGATGAATAGATAGATAGATAGATAGAGATAAAGCAGCCAACGCGGTCCGGAAGACATGCAGCAGCAGTCCGGAGATGGTGAGCAGGAAGGTGTTTCAGAGTGGTTTCAGACCTCTTTTGGGCTTGTTTTTTGGGTACCCCCAGCTTTGGGAGATGAAAAAAGAAAGAGAAAAGGTAGAGAAAGAGAAAGAGAGAGAAAGAGAGACAGAGAGAGGAAGAGGGAAAGAGAGAGAGAGAGACAGAGAGAGAGAGTGGAAGATGGAAGATGGAAGATGGAGACAAACAGAAGGCGAGAGAGAGAGAGAGAGAGACAGAGAGACGAAGAGGGAGAGGAGAGAGAGAGAGAGAGCATTGTAAATGGTGAGCAGCGGGGTGTTTCAGAGTGGTTTCAGACCTCTTTTTGTCCGTAGGCTACCTCAGCTTTGGAGAAAAAACAGGAAAGAAACGGGAAAAGAAAGAAGAGAAGGGAGAAAGAGACAGAGAGAAAGAAGAAGTCTTGAGACGGTGAGCAGGAAGATGCGTCGAACTGGTTTCAGACCTCTTTTGGGGCCGGTTATGGGGCTACCTAGTTCTTAAGACATCCAAAAGAAGGGACTCAAAACAGATTGTACTTGAAACACATGCGGTCCAGAAAGACGTGCAACGGTCCGGAAAAGCAAGCACCCAAAACGTACTCTAATCGTAGCGATTGCGGTCCGGAAAGACATGCAGCGGTCCGGAAAAGCGAGCACCCAAAACGCACTCTAATTGTAGACATTGCGGTCCGGAAAAGCAAGCACTCAAAAACGTACTCTAATTGTAGACATTGCGGCCCGGAAAGGCATGCAGCGGTCCGGAAAAGCGAGCACCCAAAACGCACTCTAATTGTAGACATTGTGGTCCGGAAAAGCAAGCACTCAAAACGTACTCTAATTGTAGACATTGCGGCCCGGAAAGACATGCAGCGGTCCGGAAAAGCAAGCACCCAAAACGTACTCTAATTGTAGCCATTGTGGTCCGGAAAGACCTGCAGCGGTCCGGAAAAGCAAGAACCCAAAACGTACTCTAATCGTAGCGATTGCGGTCCGGAAAGACATGCAGCGGTCCGGAACAGCAAGAGCCCAAAACGTACTCTAATGTAGACATTGCGGTCCGGAAAGACCTGCGCAGCGGTCCAGAAAAGCAAGCACCCAAAACGTACTCTAATTGTAGCCATTGTGGTCCGGAAAGACTTGCAGCGGTCCGGAAAAGCAAGCACCCAAAACGTACTCTTATTGTAGACATTACGGTCCGGAAAGACATGCAGCGGTCCGGAAAAGCAAGCACCCAAAACGTATTCTAATTGTAGCCATTGTGGTCCGGAAAGACCTGCAGCGGTCCGGAAAAGCAAGCACCCAAAAAGTACTCTAATTGTAGATATCGCGGTCCGGAAAGACGTGCAGCGGTCCGCAAAAAAAGCAAGCACCTAAGACATTACGGTCCGGAAAGACATGCAGCGGTCGGGAAAAGAGGATAGCACGAGACAGAGATGGAGACAAACAGAAGGCGAGAGAGAGAGAGAGAGAGACAGAGAGACAGAGAGAGGAAGAGGGAGAGGAGAGAGAGAGCGTTGTAAATGGTGAGCAGCGGGTGTTTCAGAGTGGTTTCAGACCTCTTTTTGTCCTTAGGCTACCTCAGCTTTGGAGGAAAAACAGGAAAGAACGGGAAAAGAAAGAAGAGAAGGGAGAAAGAGAGGAGAGACAAAGCAAGCACCTAAAACGTACTCTAATTGTAGCCATTGTGGTCCGGAAAGACCTGCAGCGGTCCTAATGTCTACAATTAGAATACTTTTTGGGCGCTTGCTTTTCAGGACCGCTGCGCGTCTTTCCGGACCGCAATATCTACAATTAGAGTACTTTTTGGGCGCTTGCTTTTCAGGACCGCTGCGCGTCTTTCCGGACCGCAATATCTACAATTAGAGTACTTTTTGGGTGCTTGCTTTTCCGGACCGCTGCAGGTCTTTCGGACCGTAATGTCTAGAATTAGAGTACGTTTTGGGTGCTTGCTTTTCCGGACCGCTGCAGGTCTTTCCGGACCACAATGTCTACAATTAGAGTACGTTTTGGGTGCTTGCTTTTCCGGACCGCTGCTCATCTTTCCGGACCGCAATGTCTACAATTAGAGTGCGTTTTGGGTGCTTGCTTTGTCTCTGTCTCTTTCTCCCTTCTCTTCTTTCTTTTCCCGTTCTTTCCTGTTTTTTCTCCAAAGCTGAGGTACCCTACGGACAAAAAGAGGTCTGAAACCACTCTGAAACACCCGCTGCTCACCATTTACAACGCTCTCTCTCTCTCCTCTCCCTCTTCCTCTCTCTGTCTCTCTCTCTCTCTGTCTCTCGTGCTATCCTCTTTTCCCGACCGCTGCATGTCTTTCTGGACCGTAATGTCTACAATTAGAGTACGTTTTAGGTGCTTGCTTTTCCGGACCGCTGCGCGTTTTTCCGGACCGTAATGTCTACAATAAGAGTATACGTTTTGGGTGCTTGCTTTTCCGGACCGCTGCAGGTCTTTCCGGACCACAATGTCTACAATTAGAGTACGTTTTGGGTGCTTGCTTTTCCGGACCGCTGCACGTCTTTCCGGACCGCAATATCTACAATTAGCGTACTTTTTGAGTGCTTGCTTTTCCGGACCGCTGCTCATCTTTCCGGACCGCAATGTCTACAATTAGAGTGCGTTTTGGGTGCTCGCTTTTCCGGACCGCTGCATGCCTTTCCGGACCGCAATCGCTACGATTAGAGTACGTTTTGGGTGCTTGCTTTTTTTTTCCGGACCGTTGCGCGTCTTTCCGGACCGCATGTGTTTCAAGTACAATCTGTTTTGAGCCCCTTCTTTTGGATGTCTTAAGAACTAGGTAGCCCCATAACCGGCCCCAAAAGAGGTCTGAAACCAGTTCGACACATCTTCCTGCTCACCGTCTCAAGACTTTTTCTTTCTCTCTGTCTCTTTCTCCCTTCTCTTCTTTCTTTTCCCGTTCTTTCCTGTTTTTTCTCCAAAGCTGAGGTAGCCTACGGACAAAAAGAGGTCTGAAACCACTCTGAAACACCCCGCTGCTCACCATTTACAATGCTCTCTCTCTCTCTCTCCTCTCCCTCTTCGTCTCTCTGTCTCTCTCTCTCTCTCTCTCGCCTTCTGTTTGTCTCCATCTTCCATCTTCCATCTTCCACTCTCTCTCTCTATCTCTCTCTCTCTCTTTCCCTCTTCCTCTCTCTGTCTCTCTTTCTCTCTCTTTCTCTTTCTCTACCTTTTCTCTTTCTTTTTTCATCTCCCAAAGCTGGGGGTACCCAAAAAACAAGCCCAAAAGAGGTCTGAAACCACTCTGAAACACCTTCCTGCTCACCATCTCCGGACTGCTGCTGCATGTCTTCCGGACCGCGTTGGCTGCTTTATCTCTATCTATCTATCTATCTATTTATCTATCTATCTGCTCTTTAAATGTATTTCCTTGTATTTTGTGTTCAAGTCTTTTCTGTCTGTAAATTGTTCTTTTCATCAAGGTCAGCTAGACCCCCCGAAGGGGTCTGAAACCACTCTGAAACCGCTCTGAAACCACAGAAGTTCAACACGTACAGAGCTACTTCCCAGTACTACTTCCCAGTACTGTGTTTACAAAGCTTGCACAAACCACTTCCCAGTACTACTGTGTACTACAAAGCTTGCACAAAGCACTTCCCAGTACTACTGTGTACTACAAAGCTTGCACAAAGCACTTCCCAGTACTACTGTGTACTACAAAGCTTGCACAAAGCACTTCCCAGTACCACTTTTTACTACAAAGCTTGCACAAAGTCGTTCCCAGTACTACTGTGTACTACAAAGCTTGCACAAACTACTTCCCAGTACTACTGTGTACTACAAAGCTTGCACAAACTACTTCCCAGTACTACTTTGTACTACATGGCTTGCACAAACTACTTCCCAGTACTACTGTGTACTACAAAGCTTGCACAAACTACTTCCCAGTACTACTTTGCACTACAAAGCTTGCACAAACTACTTCCCAATACTTTGTACTACAAAGCTTGCACAAACTACTTCCCAGTACTACTGTGTACTACAAAGCTTGCACAAACTACTTCCCAGTACGAAATACTAAGTGAATACTAAATATTTAACATTCGAAAACAAATACGAGAATAATGATGAAAAACAACTGAAATGATGAAAGTGATCCGGGAGTGTGGTCGCGCAAGAAACGCGCAAGGTTGGCGCAAGCTCGGCCCAAGAGGCCTTTGTGGGAACAGTAATTTAGGACAACCCCCATATATATATTATATTATTATTTAATATGTCTATAATTTTATAACTATATTAAACTTATTTCTATACATCATCAAATTACATATGTAATTCAATCATATTTAAGTTGTGGTTGAGTAGGGGAGACCGAGGCTTTGATGGGCCACCAAGATTATGGACACACACATATATATATATATACACATTATGATTCCCATTATATATGTTTGAATACCATGACATCTCATTATAATCCACATTATATTATATATATATAGCCACCCAGTTATGCTGTTATGCTTACCTTTTGTTTTAAGTGTCTCATGATGATCCCATGTATTGGCTTTCCAACATCATAGCAACACATGACCAGCGAAGGCGAACAAGCCCTGGATCTCCTTGCCCAAGGGCTTGGGCGTGAAGCTCAGCATCATCGAGGCAACGGAGTTCCCAAAAGGGCCTGGTGGAGTTCACCTGTGAAAATGGGAAGTGAATCATTCGAAAAATGGTGGTTCATACCTGTGGTATTGTTTTTTTCTATAACCAGGCACACCAGGCACATGGTATTGTTTGTGCAATATTGGGGGGGAAATGGTGGAAACTTATTGATTTCAACATTTAGGAAACAATAAAAATTGTGATTCAATGTGATGTACAACCATCAATATTGGGATACTATAGGGAAACAATGTGGAAGCATAACATACGGCTTGCTGCAGTCTACATAGCTGATTGATGTTTTTGGAGATACTAGGTTTTCAATTGTTTCATGATTGCCAAGAATAGTTGATAAGTGCAGATTTCTGGGTGATATAATGAATGTATAAGGGGGGTATAACCAGCGAATGGTGAATCTGGATAGATGTTGATAAGTTGGTGCAAAAATTATCTGGGTGAGTTTTAAACTTTAAACTTCATGGAACACATTATTATAGTTGGGGTAAAAAATGTGAGCCCCGGCTTGTACCCCTGGTTGATTTGAAGGTTACATCGTGCCGAGAAATGTTTGATCTTGGTTAAGTGATTACTAGCCCCTTAGCCATTTTTGCTTTTGAGGAAGGACACATACTAGGTGTAGAAACACATACTTATAGCAACATGTAGGAACTAGTTGGTGATTTGTCATATGTCTTACTCGCCATCCTAATTGTTTGGGATGATGATGCCTAATTGAAACATGTCTTTACAATGGTGTTTTTTGTCTTTACAATGGTGGTGGCCCAACGAACAACCAAGGAAAATCATCTACAGTACATTTCTTAGGGTTGCCCTAACCCATCATATGAAATAATATTAAAAAAAAACAAACAACTCTTTATCTACCTAATTGCCCCCCAAACGCATATGGGGTGGGCAGGGAGCAACCCTGTTTGTGGATGAGTCTTAGTTACCTGTGTTGAGAAGGGACTTCCCAGCCATGTTTGATGCCACTAAAAGGTACCAAATCCAATCTCCAGACTCAAATTGCAATATGTTGCTGATTGTATATGTTCCCTTATATCATCATCTTATATTATATTATTATTGGTTAAGTCCTTATATATTCTCCATAAATTTGCTTTGCAATCTAAAGCCCTGCCATGCATCAGGGATCAGCCAAACCAGCTGCAACAGGACCGTGCTCAGAGGATGAAGTGATCGACGATTCGACGAATGGCGTGCAGTGGATGAAGAAATAGGGCGCGAGGTCGGAACTTCCAAGGGGGGAAATCCAGGTCGGAAAAGTACTTAATGGCTCTTAATGGTCACTTAATGGTTCTCAAAGTTTTTGTTTCATGATCCCATTGAATTGGTAAGTCCCAGCGACCCTCATGTTCTTCGGAGATGAAACAAACAAGAAAATCTGTGGGTGACGGGCAGAAACTGATGTGATCAAAGAACACCAAATTGTGAGTGACATATCCTGACCTTTGTATGATTTGGGTACCATGAGACAGGCTCCTGGATTTTCTCGCAGAGCTGTCCGTGTCATCTTCCTCGTTGAATGGACTGGTAGCTGGTTGGGCGATTGGTTTAGTTTCACTCCATAGTTCTCGTGATACCCCCTAGAAAAAAAGAAGAACACATTCTTGGAGTTATTTGCACCAACTTAGCGATTTCGTAACGAGGGTACCACCTTGTACGATCTTAGGGCGCGGTGGCATGGCATGGGATAGCGACCCTTTGATACCTCTCATCTGGCCACGGTGGCTCACTGGCATCCCACCTTCAGCAGTGCCATGCAGTAAAGAAAACATGAACCATAAACATGTGACATGTGTCATTTTTTTTTTTGAAATGATTTATACATAGTTGTACTGTGTATGTCTTGTGAAATTAATTATTTATAATCTATATGATGAAATGTATTGAAATGTGTACTTAATCCATCCGTGCACTTCCCTGAAGAGGGTGGTTCAGCCCGAACGGGTGCAGAAACTTCTCAACGTTTCTCTCCGTGGTTCAACTGGTTCAACGTCCGCAATGGATTCGATGGTGGCAGAGGTCGAATGCGGCTTTGTCGTGAAAATCAGTGGATTTCTGCGGATTCGTGAAAATGGTGCTTCACCCCACCTACTGGGTCAGTTGGTTGTAACCCAACTCATCTGGTTGGTGGTTTGGAACATGTTTTAATTTTCCCATCATATTGGGAATGTCATCATCCCAACTGACTAATTCATATTTTTCAGAGGGGTAGGCTCAACCACCAACCAGTCATAGATGGCCTCAACCTGGATGGCTCGGATCGTGACGCGCCGTAGTGACTTTCGCCGATTTTCGCCGAAAAAAGGGGGATTAACCAAGCATCCACAATATCCACAGATGCTGTCATTACATGTCATTATGATATGATGATATAATGATATATAAAGTCGATCACCGTTTGATGTGGGTCTAAAATGGTCTAAACATCAAACCTTTGATTATCCGTAGTCTTCTATGGTGGATGTTCATCACATCCGTAGAAAACACGACTTCCTCCCACGGGCCAAGGCTGCCAAGGTCCATTCCGGCCATTCCGCGCAATGTCAAGAAACAGATTGTGCAGCACACTGCCGCTATCACTAAGTACTCGCGCAAGCAGCAGTGGACTCTCGATTGAAAAGATGATATTTTTCTAAACCTTGGCTTAGATTAACTTAGATGATAGATATTGATAGTCGAGATAATGTGAGTTATTGCAGGGACACTCATTTTTGTTGGGCACGAGAAAAGGATGGGAAGTAGATGATGATTCCCCCAAAAAGATCCGGTATCGCAAAAAAAAAAACATGGGTCCGATGATGGTCCTAATCCCAGAGGATCCATGGTGCTGGAATATTTACCTACACCCCTATAAGTAATTTAAAATCATCCCAATGTATGCTATATATGGTAACATTTACCATCAATATACCCCCAATGTAGGTAAATATTCCAGCACCATGGATCCGTCATGGGTAATGTTCCTATCCTCGCCATTTCGTCCAGAGTTGAAATCCGGTTCCATGAGAGTTGATGGATTTTTCCACCGGTCCTGCAGATTGTGGTTACCATAGTGATCCCCTGCAGATCATAGAGTTAACTACTTTTGGTTACCGTGGTTTATAGACAAATTGTTGTTTTTGAATGTTTTTGATTTTTGTGTTTTACTCTATGTTTTACTATATGTTTTCTTTTTTTGTTTAAACGACAACTGGTGGGTCACAACACGCTGAAAAGTAAAGAGCTGCGTTGGTAGACCCATAGGAAACATGTTTTTCAGCGCAGCTGGCTTTTGCAGTCTTGCCCTTTTGGATCCCTTTGGATGTTCTACCCTTGCAAAAGTATGGCTGCTATTAAATTCAGTCTGTGCTACTTCTGCTACAATGTTACAAGTTGGTTTCTAACTCCAATAACTATGGTTTATACACAAATAACTACAAATACCTACAGTATTCATGGGGTGAAACCAAGCCAACATTCACAGAATCCCTGATATCACTGCACGGCTAAGGTCAAAGGCCTTGTGGCGCTTCCAAGAGGTTCGTCGACAGCACCTGGGTTAAAAATGTCCCAACATATGTTTTATGTATGTCGTTGATGGCCCCAGAAACCAGTTTTTTGAGGTTGTAAATGGGGTCATTACTCACTCTTATTATGGTTATTTCACTGACTTATAACTGGTAAAGGGCCACAACTGCATGTTGATGGTGTTTGTCCTTTCTATTTGTTTTGACACCCCATACATAGTTCATCAGAAAAATGTAGTGCCCCCGAGTTAAGAAAGTTGGTTGATCATCCCCGTCAACATCCATCAAGCATCGATCGATCCGCCAACAAAAAACGATCAAAAACTAGAGTAGGGGGTATAGATACAAATTGATTTATATAAACCCTTCGAAAGCGTTATAAACCAACTTGCCCTCCTGTAAACTAACATCAGATGCGGAAAATCACCATTTTCTATACGTATAGGTAAATCAGCTATAAACGGTCCATTTTCCACATTTTATGTTAGTTTACCCCAGTGTAAAACTTCGCCAACGGCTAGGGGCACCAGCTGTAACAGCACCTTTAGGTTCCCTGCCGCCGTGGACGACGTCTTGCGGGGAGCTGCCATCCATGCAGCTGCGCTGGGGGCGAAATGGCAAGAGGAGGGGCGGCAGGGTCGGCCCTTGATCAATGAGAAAACAACAATAACGGATGATTAATCATGGATCATTATTGGATGAAATTATGATGGATAATTATTGGATTATTATAATGGATTATGATTATCATTAATTATTGATTATTAATAATGGATTAATCATCAATGGATGATTAGTGGATAATGACCGGATGAACAAAATGGACATGACTATCGGAAAAACAATTGAGTAATAATGGATAATTGTTTGATTATTATAGGGTTAATTATTGATACAATTGATCCGCTCTGGGACATATTAATGGGATAAAATATAACGGACCAGAATGGAATTTGCAACAAATGGTGATTTAAAGGAAAATAATGAATGGATAATTATTGGATAATCAATGAATCATTATTGATACCGGGATGATGAATGGATAATTATTGGATTATCAGTGGATAATGAATGAATAAATATTCGCTAATATTGGTGTACCGATAGTCAAAAGTGGTTTGCTGGAAAATCCACCATTGATTTCAATTAACATTTCTAATAAAACCTCTATATTTTTTTGGCGATGTTTTCTTGGCGCTATCCAGGGGCATCCCGGAGGGTAGCGGGGAGGATGTGAACCCGGAAACCCAAGGATCCCAAGGCATGAGTGGTGTGTCCATGGCATTGCTTTGGCGGATGGTGGATAAGTAGTACTATGGGAGGTAGTTTATATCAGTTCCAGTTGTTTCTTGTTTACCTTTATGTGATTAAGCATGACAATTGACAATTCCTCATTTATAGACGATTTCCCATGCAAATTCCAAGTAACCATCTTTGACTAGCAGAGGGTATTTCATTTGTTTCTGCGTCCCATAGTTTTTCAATATTTTTTCAAAGCGTTGCTCCAGCTGGCTTGGCATGCGCAGTATGCAGTGGATATGGATGGATATGGCGGTGAGCCGTGGTGAGCCTCCGTTCGTATTTGTTTTCTATTTTCAGCGCAAGTATCAGGAAAGCTGAAAGATTGAAACAGGGAAATGTGGAAAGACCCGTTCTGGTTGGTGGTTTGGAACATTTTTTATTTTTCCATATATATATATATATTGAGAATAATCATCCCAACTGACTAATATTTTTCAGAGGGGTTGAAACCACCAACCAGCGTTTGTTTTTGGTACTGGGTCGTAGGTCGAACTCCAGCTTGATCATCCGCGAACAGGTTTTTCTGAGGTAATTGAAAAGCCCATTTTGCCGGGGTTGATGGTGGCCTATAAGCCCTGAAAGAATTGCACTGCTTGCTTGCGAACCCGTGCTTACCGCTATCAAAAAGTCGTCCAACACATGTTGTTCCACTATACGCAACCAACGAAACCTTTTGACCATCCCAAACATGTTTACCCAATCTAGGCCTGCTTATAGATATTGTATGGAGATGTATGGACTTAGTTAACTATAGTCAGGAATTACCCAGTCCTCTTCTGAATACCAATATTGCACAGAAGAAAAAATATTCAGAGAATATAAATGATTAGATTCGATGTGAATTCAAATCTCACATTAAAACTATATCCCGTTGTATCCCCTTTTTTTGTTGGTGAAATCCCTTTATTCTGTCGCTGATTTTATCCTATCGAACTACTCGTAGGAGTTATCTCGTTCATTACAGTATTACTCATTACAAATCCAATTCCCATTATCCATCTATTTATCCTAGTTATCTTGCTGAAATTTCAAACCCGCCACTCGGATACCCTCTGATAATCAACCATTGCAATGGAACATCCACCATTTATAATTTATAGTTGAATTTCCCCATAGAAACCTTCATTTATAAGCTATTTTCCATTGATAACCTCCCAGCTACAAACCTCCATTTAGTTCGATTTGTTTCCATCTTGTACAGTTTTTTTTTCCATGGGTTTAGTTCGGGGATGTCCCATTCACCAAGTAAATCACCATTTTGTTCATACACTTTTTAGATTCTTTTGCCAAACCATCAGTTATTATACTTATAACATCGTATAACCCCACGGAGCAACCCCATTTATATATATATATATAACCCTTTACCCTCTGGTAATTTAACATAGCTATTGAAAATGGCCATAGAAATAGTGGATTTTCCCATTAATAGCATGGTGATTTTCCCATCAGTTATGTAAACGTTTACCAGAGGGTAACATCAGAAATCTTTACCAGAGGGTAACATCAGTTTTTCAGAGGGTTGAAACCACCAACCAGTATATTTATATAACCCTTTAGTTATAACTTATAACCATTTCTACCTGGTGATTCACCAGGCCTTTACCGGTCCTTTACGGTGGATTTTCAGGCGCTCGACCTCCACGGTGGAAACGCCAGCGTTTCCAGCGCCTCGCACGGGGCCCTGCTGCTGGCGCTGGCGCGGGCCAAGCGCTGGCAGATGGCGCTGCAGATGCTGGGCGAGGCCATAGGAAAATGGCGCTGCAGAGGCTGTTTTACCACGTTTTTTAGGGTTTCTACCATAGGAAAATGGTGATTTATAGTGATTTATAGATATTTATAGTGGATTTATAGTGGATTTACCCATTGAAAATGATGATTTAATGGGATTTGATGGGGATTTTACGGTGATCAATAGGAATTCATGGAACTTTCCCTCTGGTGAACGTTTGCAGTTTGCGGAAATGGCCCATAGAAATAGTTGATTTAGCCACAACAAATGGTGATTTTCCATATAGTTGTGTTAGTTTACCAGAGGGTAGGTACCATGGATTTTAGATGTTGAAGTTTCTTTTTGCTGCTATCCGGGATGTAATTTTCATGAATCATTGCTGAATCGCAAAAATAATTTGAGTTGGTGACATCTTCGTATTTTTTCATAACTTCACATCTGGTCTTTGCTTATACCATGTTTACTACCCCATGACATTCACGTAAAACCCTATGAATACCCAGGAAATTGGTAATGGATTTCCTATGTAGAAGCCTTGAAGGGCTTAGAAAAGCATGGAAATCATGTGAAATCATCATGTTCCATCATATTGTACATCATTTTTTCCATATGTTTTCCATCATGTTCCATCATGTTTCCATCATTTTCCCATAATTTTCCATCATTTTGCATCATTTTCCCTTCATTTTCCCATATGTTTCATGGTGAAATCCGTGAAACCCTAGCATGGCACGTGTTTTTCAGGCCAACGACATCGTTTCGTTCAACACGGTGCTGCACGGCTGCGCCTTAAGTGCTGCCTGGCCCTGCGCGCTGCAACTGCTGCAGAGCCGAACTGGGCAGT